ACCCTCCCCCAAGCAACCAACCAATCAATCAATCAATCAATCAATCAATCAATCAATCAATCAATCAATCATTTAATCGATCAATCAATCAATCAATCAATCAATCAATCAATCACATTTTTTTTTCTATTTTTTTATTTTTTTTTTAACATATAAAAAATCAGCCCCCCCCAAATTTTTGATTTTTTTTTTTTTTTGCATAGGCCTGCAGCGGCCGACGTGCGCATGCCAACGGCGCGCGTGGATTTTGAGGGCGCATGCCCGCGTGCGCGTGGCGCGGCCGCGGGCCTGCAGCCTAGGATCCTAGCCGCGGACTTGGATCCTGCGGCCGCGGCCTAGGGTGCCACGTAGCGTGTCCGTCCTCCCACACCTGCTCGTCCACGGCCACCACGTTCCCAACCTCCGGCCCTGCGTCGCCTCCTGTCCGACTCCGCCACCCGACGCTCGGCTCCCATGCGGGAAACGGCGCGCATCCTCTCTCTGGCGAGGCTCAACTCCTCCTCGGTCACCTTCGCCATCGCACCGGTGCCTCTGACGAGCTGCTGGTCCACGACCGCCTCGTCCTCCACGGCCTGCCAATAATGCACCCATTTCCCGAAGATGCCGGGCCTCACTCCAACACCATCGTCGCACAACGAAGGTCGATCGAGTAGCCTGAGGTTCGAGTGGTACCGCACAAGCTTCTCAACCCGAGGAACCTCCAACCTGTTGCGAGACTTCGAATGAATGAAGCTCCAACGAGACCAGGCTCTCTTGCACGGCGATGTGGTCGCCCATATACGAAGGATCCTGCCTGCAAACACGGCCGTGTGAGGGAACTTCGCCTTCTTAGAGGAGCAAAAACTGGCAGGGTGATCAAAGATATCCACAGCTCGCCGCATGGTGAGCTCATCGAAAGGGGGCTCCCTCGTGTGGAGCTTGGCGACCGCTCGTTGGACCTCCTAGTGCTGCGGCGATCCCTCCGGGTAGCCGAACTGGACCAGGGCCTTGACCAAGGTCTGCTGCACCTCCGCATCGTCACACAGCGTTGCGTCCCGGAACTCTAGATCTAGCAGCATGACTGCCGTGTGGGCAGGGGTCTTGAACATGGTGCGCCGCCTGAGGAACACCTCCACAATAGCGTCTTGCTGGTCCCGATCAATGTCACGACATGCGGATAAACAAGATGCAATCGTCTCCTCGTAAGGTCGCAGAATCTTGCTGATCTGGCGTGTGTAGTTGTCCACCAACCTCAGCATGTCCATGATGGGCTCGAGTATCTTGCACAGAGCTCTCAAATCCTCCCACCATGGAGGGGAGCCGATACACGCAGTGACCTCCGCGGCGTCCTTGCGGATCTTGCTGGTCGACCAAACGGTCTCACGCCAGCGATCGTCGCCCACAACCTGTGTCAACTCTGCCCGCAGTTCCACCAGCCTCGTCATCATGATGACGTACGTGCCGAAATGCATCTCGGCCGGTAGCTGAAAAATATTCTTCGAGTACGCCTCAAGAACCTCTCTCGCATGTCTGTGGCGCCGTGTAACCAGCCTTGCTTGCGCAATGCGGGAAGCCACCCAATCAATCCCGCCGATGTCCTCGAGAATGAGGTCCATGATGTGGGCGACGCAAGGAATCCAGAAGATGTGTTTCACGCTCTCATCTTTTTCGAATACCTCCATCGCCGCGACGTTCACCCCGGCGGAGTCCGTCACGAACGCTGTGATGTCGCTCAATTCAATGTCCATGGACTTCACCCTTTTCAACCATGCGTTCGCGAGGGCACTGGCATCCTTTTTGCCGTGCATGACGTCGGTGGCCACATACGCTACCCCGATCTCTGTCCCAACAAGGTAATTGCACAACGTCTGACCACGGATGTTGGTCCAACCATCGGTCATGATTGTGCAACCGGTCTCTTTCGACGTGTCAAGCACCGGCCGAACACACTTTTGGACCTCACCATCCAGCTCGTCCTAAAGGGTCGTGCACAGCAAGTGGTAGGAGGGAAGTCTAGGCGCGGGCTCCCTTGGAACCCCCGGCGGGATTATCATCGTGAACATGCGTTTGAAGCTTTCAAGCTTCGTGCAGTTGAACGACATCCCGCTCTCGACGATGAACCGCATGATTTGCAGATGCCACGCGCGCTCCGGGTCTGAATAATATGACGTGACGGCCTGCTGCCTGTAAGCACCCCGGCATCGACCCGTCGTGGCTCTCCCGCCGAGGACCCCGGCATCCAACAACCCGCCAGGACTTACAGGTGTCGCGCTCTGGGCGACTGCAAGGTCGCGAATGCGCTGCAAAGGGTCTAACGATCCGGTCAACACGGGTGGAGGCTATGGGGCAGACCGACCACTACCCGTCGTTGTCGGAATCGGGGTCGGTGATGAATCGGACAACGGAGCGGGGACCTCCTCGGCAGGCACCCCATGATCCGCTTGTTCCCCGAAACGAGGCACGGAGGCAGATTGTGGAGCATCTGCAGGTGCGTGTGACGGATCCGGGAGGGCGGTTGCGTGAGCGTGGTGGACCACAGGACGCTGCGCCGCTCGTGACGGTGGCGGTGGCAGCCAGGGGTGCTCTGAAGAACCGCGGAGCGATGCGCCGGGCGCCACTGCAGTACCACCCCGTGCGACATCTGACTGTCTACGACTCCTGAACACAGGGGCGAGCACTGTTGAACTGCCGACACTCCCCCCCCACCTTCGACTCTCAATAAAAGCACGTGTGCTCTCCTCGTCAAATGCCGCAGAGCCCGCACTATCCCTCACAGGCGGGGGCTCGTTCGTTGGCGTGGAACGACCAACTTCCACATCGTGAACACCTCGTGTCTCAGCCAGCGGTGCAGACGGCGGGGCTGTCGGTCGTGTTGCAACTGTTGTTGCAGGACGCGCTACCGTGACTCGAATAGCCGGAGCCCCAGAATTGGGCGATGTGACCGGTCCTGAAGGGGCGGTGGCAGGAACCAGCAGCGGCACTGCGTCCTCGGGGAATCGAAGAGGTGGCCACTGCAAGCTCGGATGGTCTGGCAATAAGCTCTGCAACGTTTCTATGGCCGACGTGAACTCCTTTGGACATTTTGTCATGTCCTTCGACCAGATCGCATACGACACAGCAGGAGTGGCTGCCTCACATCGGAACTTCTCGCTCTTCAAGAAGTGTTCCTTGGCGGCTTTAGCGCCTCCACAAATCGAACGCCCGCACAACCTGCACAGGCATCGACGACCGCTCTTCCTACCCGCCCCCGTCGACCCATCCAAATAACGCCCTCTCGCTACGAAATGCCACATCGGGTCGTCCCTCTTGCCGTCGACTTTCGGGTCGACCTTGAACGGTGAGTCAAACGTCTTCGTGTTATGACCTTGTCGGGCGGTTGTGAACGAGTCTATCGGATCCTTCCCCCGGTCCTGCGACATGATGAAAGCCGCTAGCCGCGAGAAAAAGACGATGTCGGAACCCTCTGAGAATGTTGCCAACTCGCTACAAAGATCGAAGTCGGCGTCAGAGCGGCAAAGAAATGCTATGAAACAGGAAAAAACGATGAACGCAAAAGTGCAGAACACCTGGACAACAAAGGGAAAACACAAAACGACATGAAACGCAAAAACAAACAACCAAAGAACAACGAAAAAAACTCAGAACTCGGAGGCAAAAAAAAAAAACGCCGATGTTCTCTGTCCCTTGTAATGATAAGAAAAAAAAAAAACGACCCACGGCGCACACACAAAGACTTACAGAAACAAGCAAAATGTCAGAATCTCCGCAAGGCAACCATTCCACAGGCGGAACTTCCGAATCCAGGAGGGCGATCCCACTAGCCAGGTATGTGGATCAGTGTGATTGGTGTGGGACGGGTGGGGGACAGGTGGGTGGTAGAGGGAAAGAGGGAAAATAAACGAAAAAAAAACAGGGCAAGGTTAACTCCACACACCATTTGCTAACTCCACACACCAACAAGAGAGAGAGAGAGAGAGAGAGAGAGAGAGAGAGAGAGAGAGAGAGAGAGAGAGAGAGAGGCGTGGATCTTGGCAAGGCATCCATTCCACAGGCAGAACTGCTGAGATCA